ATTGCAATAGTACGTTGACAGGAAACTACCAGAGTTTCAAGCTGGATTCAGATGAGGACTTGGAATGAGGGATATCATTGCTGACCTCAGCTGGATTTTGGTTGAAAGCAGAAAACACCAGAAATATGTTGATTTGTGCTTTATTGACGATGCAAAGGCTTTCAACTGTGTGGATCAGGACGAGCTACGGACAACACTGTGAAGAATGGGTATTCCAGAATGCTTACTCGAGCTCATGAGGAACCTGTACATAGACCAAGAGGCAGCCATTTGAACGTAACAGAGGGACACTGAATGGTATGAAATCAGGGAAGTTTGCACCAGGGGTATATTCTTTTACCATACTTACTCAGTCTGTATGCCGGGTTATGTGAAGAACATGGCATCAAGATTGGAAGAAGACTCATTAACAACCTGCAATATGCAGGTGATAAAACTTTGCTTGCGGAACCTGAGGAGGACTTAAAATACTTAATGATGAAGTTCAAAGACCACAGCCTTCCGTATGGATTGCACTTCAATGTAAAGAAAACAACAATCCTCATCACTAGATCAATAAATAACATCATGATAAATGGAGAAATGATTGAAGTTGTCAAAGACTTCACTTTGTTTCCACTATCAGCACTCATGGAAGCAGCAGTCAGGAAATCATACAACATATTGTGTTATGCAAATCTGCTACACAAAGACTTTTTAAAAGTGTTCAAGACCAAAGATGTCAGTTTGAGGACTAAGGTTGCCTCACCCAAGCCATGTTTTGTTCAGTAGCCTCATATGCATGTGAAAGTTGGACAGTGAATAAGGAAGATGGTAGAAGAATTGATGCCTTTGAGTTATGATGATGGAGAAGAATATTAAAAGTACCACAGACTGCCAGAAGAACAAACAAATCTGTGTTGGAAGAAGTACAGCCAGAATGCTCTTTAGAAGCCAGGATGTCAAGACTTCGTCTCTTACTTACATAGCTGACGTATTATCAGGAGGGATCAGTCCCTGGAGAAGGACATCATTCTTGGTAAAGTGGAGGGTCAGCAAAAAGGAAGACCCCCAATGAGATGGATCAACTGTAACGACAATTGTGAGGATGACTCAGGACTGGGCAGTACTTTGATCTGTTGTGTGTAGCGTTGCTATGAGTCGATGACGCCTAACAGCAACAACATACAGAAGACCAGCTGATATGACTAAAACTCAGATTTACAGCCAACCAGTAGTGTGTGCCGAAGATGAAGACATGGGTGATTTTCCCCCGCTTCTACAGTCTGAAATTGATCAAGATGCATTGATAATTCCAGGTGATTGGAATGCATGTCAAAACAAAGAAGGGGCAGTTGTTGAGGAAAATGTAGCCTTGGTGATAGCAATGAGGCTAGAGCGTGCATGATAGTGTTTTTCAAGATAAATGACTTATTCATTGCACACATTGTTTTCAACATAAACTGCACCTATACACATCTGAACCTCACCAGATGGAATACAGAAATCAAATGGATTACATTTGTGGAAAAAGACTATGATATCACCAATCAGAAGAAAGCTAGGGGCTAACTACAGAATACACTATCAGTTGCTAATATAAATTAAGGTTCAAGCTGAAGAAAATTAATACAAGTCCATGAGAGCCCAAGTAAAGTACAGTCTTGAGTATATACCATCAGAATTTAGAGACCATCTCAAGAATAGATTTGACACAATGAACACTAATGACCAAAGTTCAGACCAGTTCTAGGATGACATCAAGGACAACATACATGAAGAAAGCAAAAGATTACTTGAAATTCCAGACAGAAAATAAAAACCAAAAAGAGTATCAGAAGAGACTGTGAAACTTGTTCTTGACGGTAGAGTAGCCAAAGTGAATGGGAGAAAGGACAAAATAAAAGAAATGAACAGAAGATTCCAAGACCAGATCAAGAAGACAGAGTAATGTATCATAATGAAATGTGCAAAGTTTTAGAGTTAGACAAACACGAGGAAAGAACATGCTTGACATTTTTAACCTAAAAGAACCGAAGGAAAAATACAAGCCTTGGGTTGTAATATTGAAGGATTAACCTGGCAATGTGGAGTCCTGGTCTGGCGTTGTGGGTTAATGCGCTGGACAGCAAAGTTGGCAGTTCAAACCCACCATATGCTCCTCGGAAACCCTATACAGAGTCACTATGAGTCGGCACTGACTCAATGACACTTAACAACAATAATTGGCAGTGTAGAGCCCTGGTGTGGCACTATAGGATAAGCACTGGGCTGATAACCCCAAGTTAAGCAGTTCAAACCCACCAGCCGCTCCTTGGAAACCCTATACAGGGTCACTGTGATTCGGGACTGCCTCAACAAGCCTTAACGACAACAACAGCATTGGCGGTCTATTGAATGATGCAGGCACTTTCAAGGGAAGATGGAAGTAATGTGCAGCGTCGCTGTATCAAACAGAATAGATGGATGTGTGCCCATTTCAGGAGGTAGTATAAGATCAAGAGTTGATGGTCTTGAAGGAAGAAGTGCAAGCTGCACTGAAGGCATTGGTGAAAAACAAGGCTCCAGGAATGGAGAGAATATCAGCTGAGATATTTCAGCAAATGGATTCAGTACTGAGAGTGCTCATCTACCTGTGTCTAGAAATTTGGGAGATAAGGAGTTGGCCGGATGACTGGATGAGCTCCATCTTTGTCCCCATTGCAAAGAAAGGTAACCAGCCCAAAAGAATGTAGGGATTATCCAACAATGTTATTAATATTGTAGGCAAGTAAAATTTTGCTAAAGATAATTTAAAAATGAGTACAGCAGTACATGGACAGGGAGCTGCCAGAGCTGCAGATTCAGAAGGGGGCGTGGAATGCCAGGTGTCACTGGTGATGCCAGATGGATCTTAGCTGGAGGCAGAGAATACCAGAAAGGTGTGTACCTGTGTTTTATTGACTATGTAAAGGCATTTGACCATGGACTGGAGCAAGCTATGGATAAGATTGTGAAGAATTAGAATTCTAGAACAGTGTATTGTGCTCATGAGGAACCTGTGTTTATGGCAGAACAGTGTATTGTGCTCATGAGGAACCTGTGTTTATGGCAGAACGGGGGGACACTGTGCGGTGTTAAAGTTAGGAGAGGTCTGTCAGAGTTCCATACTTTCACCATACGTGTTCCTTCTACTTGTTGAGCGAATCAACCAAGAAGCTAGACTAGATGAAGAATTTGGCGTCCGGATATGAGGAAGATTCAGTACTAACCTGTGGTATGCAGATGACACCACCTTACTTGTTAAAGTGAAGAGAGGACTTACCGATGAAAATCAAATTCTACAGCCTTCAATATGGCTTATACCGCAACATAAAACAGAACCAGTACGCAGCACTGTGATAAACGGAGAAAAGACTGAAGTTGGCAAGGATTTCATGTTACTTGGATCCCCAATCAGCACCCATGGAAGCAGCAGTCAGGAAATCAAACAACACATGGCATTGGACAAGTGTACTGCGAACAACCTCCCTAACGAGCAAAGCTGCCACTTGAAGGACCGAGGTGCCTCTGACCCAAGACTTGGTGTGTCCCCTTGTCTCCCATGCTTGAGAAAGCTGGACAATGGGTGAAGAGGCCCCGAGAAGAACTGTTTTCTAAAGATGACGTTGGCAGGTCTGCCTAAGCTTTGTCTGTCTGTCTGATTAACGAGAGGATGTCCATGCCCCAGAGGGCGCCCCACCCCCACCTCAGGACTGACCCTGAGGAGCTGGATGAGTGGTTACAGTCAATACCTCCTGTGATTGCAGGCACTTCTAGACATCCTGCCACACACAATCAGGCCTAGTGGTCTCAAAGCCAAAGTGGCCCCTTGTTTTTTAAATCAGACCCCACTTAGGCCTGCTTGAGCAATGCTCCCCGGCCCCAGGCCCCCACTTGCCTTTCTAGTGAGACAGGACTGAAGTGATGGAGCTCCTTGGGGAGTGGGGGGAGGGCTCTGTGCTGTTCCTGGTGTGGGATCAGGTCCAACAAGCTAACAGTTCTGGATTTGAGGATGGTCTCCACCCCTGTGCTCTGTTCCGTGGTCCCTAAAGGGTGAAATGCCCACACTCGTGCCTTCATGCTGAGGCCAGATCACAGGCTTTTGGTCAGGAAGGGACCCAGAATAGCGAGGGGGGTCTTTGTGTCTTTAGTGCCCCCCCTCCCCCACTCTCCTTTCAGCACTGTTAGGAAACATGGAACATATTCTCACAGAAACAGATGTTGTAACTCACTGTGTGTCAAAGCCGGCCCCCTAGAATCCTGTAGTACCCAGCGATGTGGCCTGGAGTCTGGGCTGCCTGGGCTGCTGTCGGGTAGCTGCTCTCCTGTGCTTTTGGCCAGGGTTACCTGTGGGGGGGGATTACCTGTGGGGGGTTGTCTGTGGGAGATTACCTGTGGGGGGTGCCTGTGAGGGGTTACCTGTATGTGGGGGGTGCCTGTGGGGGGTTACCTGTGGGGGTACCTGTGGGGGTTACCTACCTGTGGGGGCTGAGGAGCCCTGCCTCAGAGGCCACAGCCATCGTTGCTCCATTTCCTAAGCACCAGAGTGTGGGTTCCCAGGGAAGCATTCTCAGTCCTGGAAGTCAGGTTGCTGAGATGCAGGCCCGCCGTACCCACTGGAAACAGGGTTGGAGGGTCCTAGAGTGGGGGTTGGGCCCCTCCACCTGCCCTTCCCTTCTCTCCTCCATGAAAATGCCTCTCCTGGAATGTAAGTGAGGCTGCTTGGTGTGAGGAGCTGGGTGTCATTAAGTAAGTCCATAGCACACGGCTGTTAGGAGGATGCCAATTAACCCTTGTAAATCTCAGGCCAGGCCCTGCTGGGTAATGAAGTGGAGTGTCACACGCTGGTTCTCTGCAGTAGAGATTGATGGGCCTGGGCTGACTCAGGCCTGTCCAGTTCCTGCTGGGCTGCACGGTGGGCAGGCGGATGCCAAGGCCTCGCAAAACAGCTTCAGATAATGGTAGCAAGAGCTGCTTACGTGGTCTTTCCTTTGTCCCAGCTAAGAAGTACAAGAAAGTCACCGGCAAGGAGATCTACTCTGACACCCTGGAGAGCACGCCCATGCTGGAGAAGGAGAAGTTCCCACAAGACTACTTCCCTGAGGTAGGGGCCTGTCTTCTCACCACTGCTGCCCAAGAGAGTTTTGGACAGGGGTCCCCATCCACTGCTAGTGCCCACACACACCGTCTCATCCTCCCATGTCCAGTCTTTGTGGGAAGGTCTCAGTCCTCTTGGAGGTTGATGGGAATTGTCACAGAGAGCGTATTGAGTGTCAGGCCAGTCCATTTCCAGGCTAGGAAATAGGAAGATGGAGGAAGGTCCCCTCCTATTGGGCCTGGGTGGTGTGAACCTTGTCCACCCTGCCCATACTGCCTGTGGAGGTATGGTTCTAGGTGAAGGAATGAGGGACGTTATTTATAGATGTGCCTCTAACAGTTTCTGATTCAGTTTTGTCTAGGGCTGTGGATGTTGGTTCTTGATACAGCTGTCTCAGGGTACTTGGGTGATGGTAGTTTTCAGAACATCGTAACAAGCCTTTCTGGAGTCCCCTCCTCATTCATGTTTAACATTTCAACCAAGAGTTCATCACCTGTCCCTTAGTCATTGTGAAATCATTCGATTTGATGCCTTTACTGAAAGCATTCTCAGGTGGTGATACTGAAGAAGTGTAGGTTTGCACCTGCCAGGTGTGTCTGGACCTGGGGCTTCTCAGCTGCACTGTGACATAGGAGAGCGGGTCCGCCACAAGAAGGATAGCTCTGCTGATCTTCTTCCGAGGACTGCGCTGCAGCGAGGCCAGACGGGCCTGTGCCTTGAGCTGATTTCCAGCAAGGCCACAACTTTATTAAGTTGCTTTATGACCTGAGCTCCATGAAGGGACTGTGGCAGCTCCGTGAGGGATGGTGCTCCTGCCACCTTGGCGCTCGGCCTCCTCATTCATTGTCCCCTGAGCCAAGGACAGGTGTCAGCAGCTGGGCCAGCCTCTGCTGCTTAGTGTGCTGTGCCCACTCTCTCCTCAGTTCCAAGCCCAGTAGTGTCGAAGGGGTGCAGCAGAAAGCCCCTCAGACTTCTGTTCACCTTCCTTGTGCATATCCCTTTGTCAAGACTGTGTGTCCTGAGGTGGTTCCCCCAGCACCATCCCCGAGGC